AAAAACAAGTCAAACCAAAAAGATTATTTTCACTCTCCTAAGAAAAAAAGTTAACTCAATTAAAAACAGAAAAATTTATCGCCTAGTCCATGTTACCGTTGTGGAGCACTTCATTGGTTTAAAGATTGCCAATATCATTTTAAAACCTGTCTAACTTGTAATAAAGTTGAGCACGAGAGTTCACATTGCAGAGCAAATAAAGGAGGAAAAAGCCGGATTAGAACCACAAAAACAGACGAACTAGACGTCAAAAATATAAGAAAGTATGTGCAGGTAGAAATACTGAATAAAAAAGTCAGGTTACAATTAGACTCCGGGTATGACTTATCAATAATCAACCTACATACCTGGAAAAAGGTTAAATAAATCAACCATGCTAAAAACCGGAAAAATAGCTAAATAGTACGTGTAAATATAAATATGTTGTTGTGTAGGTGTGTATACGTATGTGTTTTTGAACATAGAAATATAGGTTCTTGCTAGATTAGATAATCGTTATATTTTTTTTATGTTTATATTTGATTTGTAACCTGTAGTCGATATTACTTTTGTCAAATTTTCTTGATTACACAGCGGCCCTTTTATAAATGCCCTTCAGTTTTAGTCCCCCCCCATCTCTCCCCCACCCCTTTTTCTTTTCTTTTCCTCTCCTTCTCTCATCTTTTGATCTTTAAGATTATATCATCTATTGTGTGTGTGTGTGTCACCACAAAATGTATCTTTTCCGGTGTATCTTTAATGTATTAGACATCCGAGAACATTCATATTTCTCTCACTTAAACCGTCTTTGACTCCCCTCTTTAAAGCTTCTCTCTGTTAAATTTTAATCCCCCCCCACCCTTCATCTTTAGACCTTCCTGTTCTTCTCTCGTCTGTTACCCCTCCCTACAGCTTTCATTTACTCTAACATTCGTCCCACACTCTCATACATACACTCTCACTAAATTCTATTTTTTATTTCCGGAGTTGTTTTTTCTGTTTTCTTTTTGAATATGTAGGTCTGATGAATTGGATCGTACTTACGATTCCAATGGAATAAATTATGACCATGGAATATTAGTGTTTAAGCCTTTTTATTATATTCTTTCTCTGTCCTGGACATTGAGTTCTACTTGGATTCTATCCTCTTGGAATTATTTTTTATACATATATATATGTGTATATATGTATGTATATATATTTATATATTTTACATATATGATTGCATATGTATCTGTATATTTACCGCTAATATTATCTATCTATCTATATATATATATATATTATGAAATGGACAAAGTCCGACAATTATTTTAAGACATTTTTATGTTTATACATTCTTTTTATATATACAGATATTTACGTAATTGCTATGTTTATAATAAACAGTATTAAACAACATTTACCGGCCTGAATGTCCGAGAAATTTTCATAGAAAGGGATTTACACACTAGGTATTTGCTCTGTTTCCCCACTAAGACGAGTTCTTACACAAGGTCACTTTTGAGCGCGTACACCCGGGACAGGAACAAAATTGTCCGCAGCCCCCGTAACCATCAATTGCGCTGGCTTCGGTGCGAGCACCGATCCCTCCCTCTGGTGCAATGAGAGGGCGCGGCATCGGGCAGCTGTTCCCCAGGGCTGGGCATCCACTTAGTATAATTTTCCACAGTTGCGACTCTGGCCTTTGACCGAGTCGCCTCTGAGCGCACTCTACTCAAAGACAGAGACGCAACTGAGAGATAATAAATAGAAGTTACATTTACTTGAAGTGTTGTATTTACTTGATCCCCCACTGAGTCAGGTTGTGACACAAGGTCAGTTTTTAACGTGGAGACCCGAGTGTTTTCACTCGAGCCGCTGGTCTAACCTGGTCTTAGCTTGTCCAAGCTGGTCTAAGCTAGTCTTAGTTTTCATAGCTGGTGCGTACATCCATCCAAGGAGGGATTTACGCGGTATTTACTTGAAACCCCACTGAGTCAGGTTGTGACACAAGGTCATTTTTTAACGTGGAGACCCGAGTGAAAACACTCGGGCCGCTGTTCTAAGCTGGTCATCGCTTGTCCAAGCTGGTCAGAGATGGTCTAAGCTAGTCATAGCTGGTCTTGGCTTGTCCTAGCTGGTCCAGGCCGGAGCCGGTCCAAGCTAGTCCTAGCCGTCATACCACCAGCACAGAGACAGAGCCCTGTGAGCGGTAAGTGTATTTAGAAAATAGTTGTTATAAAATATAATTAGCATTTCGAAAAGGACTTCTTCTTCGAACGCATTGTTCTCATGTCCTTTGGGAGATAGTATATCCATCAACAAACATTAAATTATTACATTTGCCATTATGTACCACACACCCTCGTAGACTGACTTGTCACTAATCGAAATTTAATACAATTTGTGCATATAATTTTCCGAACTATGTTGTTGACGAAGAAATAAAATTGACTTTAAAGAAATTTAGAAAAGATGATAATGATTTACGGCTTCACTGTATTCAACAAAACTGTTTTCATTTAACAACTGAGAATGTTTTCTCTATACGCCTGACTGACGCTAGACTCCCAGGAGAGCGACATACTACGCCTTCTTAGCGTTACGTTTTTTTACAACTGACATGCAATGGATCAATTGTTTTGTTTACTGCAAGGAAATTTGGGTCAATGTGTCTTACTAGAAAATGTAATCGATCTGTAATATAATCACTCCTAACCAGGCATCTCGATTTTAGTCACTTCATCACCGACATGAAGTGGCTTCTCTCTGCCTTTTCTACAAATATTTTCATGGCAACTGCTCTGATGAGCTTTTTTCCTAGGTACCCTGACTACATGAATTTAAGCGTGCTACTGGATTGGCATCTAGGTCCCACCCGATTACTGTTGAAATAGCTAAATGCAACCCTCAGTTCTACCCCAGCAATTTCTTTTCTCGCAAGTCCCACCTGTGGAACTACCTTCCATTTACTAGATTCCCTGATAACTAGAATCCTCAAAAATTTAAATGCAACGCAATCATTATCTTCTGTCTTCTTGAACCTCATTCATTTTTTTTGTCCTTTCCTCAATGCTTTCTATATCCTACCCCGTCTCTAACTTTCACTCTTATCCTAATGACATTACCGCCTTGCTTGAGGTAAAATGATTTTAAAAATAAATAAATAAATAAATAAAAAAAAAACAGAAAAAAATAAGAAGCCACAAGTAAAAATTCATGTCTTCCATATACATGGGCGATCTTGTCTCTCCAAAACTCTTTTGTGGTAAACCCCCTTCTACAGTAGAATGAACTCTTTCTCTTTTGGAGTAAACCCCCTTCTACTGTAGAATGAACTCTTCTCTTTTGTGGTAAACCCCCTTCTACAGTAGAATGAACTCTTCCTCTTTTGGAGTAAACCCCCTTCTACAGTAGAATGAACTCTTCTCTTTTGTGGTAAACCCCCTTCTACAGTAGAATGAACTCTTCTCTTTTGTGGTAAACCCCCTTCTACAGTAGAATGAACTCTTCCTCTTTTGGAGTAAACCCCCTTCTACTGTAAAATGAACTCTTCTTCCTCTCATAAATACTAACTGCGAGAGTCGGTTGGAAGAGCACAGACACAGTGTGGCCACCTCGTGGTTGTGTAATGGTTAGCAAACTTGTCTCGCTAGAACAATTACGACTGAGTAGTGAGTTCGATCCTCACTGGGTGCCCTATACTTTCGGCCTTGTGCCACATCTGAGCTATGCTTGCGTAAATTCTTCCTTGGAGGGATTTAACGCAGGCTTATCATCTCTCAGTTGTGTCTCTGTCTTTGGACAGGGTGTGCTCAGGGTCTTCTCTGTCAAAGGACAGAGGGGCAACTGAGGAAAATTATACTGAGAGGTGCCCAGCCCGGGGGAACAGCTGCCCGAGACCCCGCCCTCCCCTTGCACATGTGGTAAGGAACGGTGCTTGCACCGAGGTCAGCGCAACCGACGGTTGCAGGGGCTGTGGGGAATTTTTGTCCCTTGTCCGTGTGTACGCGCTCGGATCCCCACTTTAAAAAGACCTTGTGTCACATCTCATCCTCGTGAGGGAACGAGTAAACACAGCACAGACGCAGTGTTAACCTACCGTTCGGACGTACACCTCTATCAACTTATTAGTAACACTCTTGCTTTGTATATATCTTCAATATACTTTTTCAACCTACCTTCGTCTTCTGTGTCTTTCTTTCTGGCCCCTAACCAGGCCACAACAAAAACCTCTTATATCTTGAGGCTCAAAAACCAGTTTTTATACTTTTGCTAAAACTCAAGACCCCCACCCCACTGGTTTACTGTCCATTCGCACAAAATTTTCAGATAGGTGGCTCGCTGAGGTTTCCTTGCACTCAGTATTCCTTTTTAATCCTTCCTTCTCCATTGTGTGCCCCTAGGAATTTCAGCTTTCTTTCTTTCTGATTCCTAGCAAAACCGTGCAAAAATGATTTCGGACATATTATTTTACAAAAATATATATATATATATATATATATATATATATATATATATATATATATATATATATATATAAATTTAAATAAAAAGAAAGAACAGTAAGATATATAATCCGGTGTTCTTATAGATATTTTTATTTTTTTAAAAATAGTGCTCAATGTAAATTTACAGAGCATTAATATTCGCTTGAGGATGAAATGGAACTAATGTCTTTAATTTAATTACAAAATTAAATTCGTAGCTTTTAGCTTCCATTTTTGAAACATGGTTAGAACTGTGTAGCGGAAAAAACATATTTCAAATCAATTAATTTATATATATATATATATATATATATATATATATATATATATATATATATATATTATTTTACAAAGAATATATATATGATGGCTAACAACTCGCTGAAAGAATATGGCTGCCAAACAGGCCGCGACGAATGAAGTGGTTCGCTCATGGTCTTCGAATTTATATTTAGCTTGAACTGTTAGATAGTCCTGATCCAGTGACAAGAATAAAATGAAAAGGCACGAGCGGGGTCGTTTATTACCGAATTATCATAATGATATCTGCTTACAGTCCTGGGTATTCCCAAGCGGTCACCCATCTAAGTACTAACCAGACTCGATGCTGCTTAACTTCGAAGATGGAACAGAAACCAGTGCCTACAAACTCTCTCTCTCACACACACGTATACCTTTAAAACATCAATATAAATAAAGACAAAAACTTAAAAGAAAATGGTTAAATCGATAACCTCATCTTATTCAAAACATATAACACATAAATCAACCCCAATCCCAAATAATTTATATACTAATTTATATATATATATATATATATATATATATATAACATCAACTACTCACTTTCGTTTATTAGACATTGTTTTAGCATAGGACGATAATGGATATGTCCCCATTCACATAAATACAGTAGTAAATACTGTATGTTGGTCTGCAGTTGGAAATTCGTTACCAGCTAAACCTCCAGGCAGCGAGAATCTGCAGACGAGGCTATGTCGAAGGGCAGAGTCTCGCCTTGGAAAACAGTACCCGACCCATTTCTATACAGGGTCTACGGGGAATTTTGGCTGAGCCTACGGACTCGAATACTCAACATTAAATTCAACCTTATGCCACATCTGACCGCGTAGGGTGGTTCATAGATATTCTGCAGTTGGAAATTCTTCTCCAGTTGTGCTGTTCAAATGGTCTGCCCCCGGACAGAGAGGACCCCCAGACCAGCCTATGTCGAATGGCAGAGTTTCGACTCGGGAAACAGCTATCCGACCCCGTTTTATACGAGGTCTACGGGGAATTTTTGTCCGAGCCCACGGGCTCGGATATACTACATTAAATTCGGCTTTGTGTAACATCGGACTGCGTGGGGCGGTTGGTAGATATCCTGCAGTTGGAGATTCATTGTGGAATTCACTTGACTCAATTCTAGCAATTGACTATTTCTTCTACGCGGCGCTAGCTAATCTTATATGTGTTGTTCTTGTCCTAAGTATTATCTTTCATTACCAACCTTCGTGTGATTATTCTATTCAGTAAACTTCCCTAGGTTACAACAGACATTGGGCGAAACTCATCAGCTAAAACTAAAGTTTTCTTATTGTCTTTTTTAGTTTATATATATATATATATATATATATATATATATATATATATATATATATATTTGAGTAATGAAAATACCTGGGAAATAAATTATAATATTATGGAACCTTAATGTTGTCTGGTTTTCTTTTAAATTAAATACACACACACACACACACACACACACACACACACACACACACACACACACACACATATATATATATATGCATGGCTGGACATTACGTCATTTTCTCTACCAACGGTAAAACGGTAGTCAGAATAGAACAGACTCTCGCCGTTTGGTGTCCATCTCAAAGTCCACTTTTAAATTTACGTACACTCTATCCCTGATGTTGAGTATTTTAACTCATAAATATAGCGTTCTATACAACTATATTTTTATCATATATATATATATATATATATATATATATATATATATGGTCGTCCTGGGTATGACGATAAACTACATCCGGCAACAATTCCTCTGATCGGAGGTGGATGAGAAGCGTTCAAACACCTCTTAATTACTATTGTTCCTATGTCCATCCTGACCTGGGGTGGTAGCACCTGTTATGGTCCCAGGTATGGTCAAATGAAGGTATAAGATTTTAGTTTATATTTCCTTTTGCTACGTATTTCGTTTTTTTTTTTATTCTTTGTTTATTTATTGTTAGTTTTTGTTTTTATTAAATCCTGACAGGTTTACTGTTGGTTGTACCAACACTTTGGATATATATACATACACACACACACACACACACACACACACACACATATATATATATATATATATATATATATATATATATATATATATATAATTATCCACAGACAGACTGTTTCGCTGTATCATAGCTCATCAATATGGCTAGACATCCGATTGCTTCAAGCCGGAATCGAAACCCGACCGATTTGGCATCAGTCAGAGATTCTACCCCCAAGCTATCATCGCACGGCAGAGAGAAAGGGAAATTTTAACGTTTTTTGCTATGCGAAAGACGTCAGGCACTCATCATATAGAAAAAATGCTTTGAAATATCACCTTTTGGAATATGTACGTATGTCATCAATTTCACTCATGTGGGGAAACTAAATCACACCTATTCACCGGGATCAATGGGCATCAATTGTATTTCATCAATAATTTTATGATCAGTTATGGCAGCACTGCAAGACAAGGATGTATCTTAGCGTTTCAACAGGGAACGGAAAGAGCAACACCGAATTCCGAAGGCGCGGTGGGATAGCGAAAGATGTTTCCAAAAGCTAAGTAAAGTATTAAGAAACAGGAAAAAATATCGTTATAAAGAAAGAAAATATTACTGAACTCACAGATGAAGAAGAGACGGAAAGTGGTTCTACAGAAGGATGCTGAGAATACCATGGACCGAACATGCGAGCAGTGACGAAGTTCTAGAACAAAAAGGGCATCTATTTTCATCAGAACAATATGAAAATATTT